TATCATTCTGTAAACATCCTTCCTACCTGGCGGTAGACTTGTCTTATCATGGAAATGATTTTCTCTGTGACTACACCTCCACACCTGTAGGTTGGTTCGGTAATAAATGCGAGACCTTTCACCTCAAAAAAAAAAAAAAGACTTTGCAGAGGTATGTGGATGGGCCAAATGAACCAGAGAAGACAAAGCATTGGCCCTACAGTAGGACAGCTTGGGTAACAGTTGTTTTCTTTGGGAGAAATCCTTAGTCTGGAATAGTGATGGAATCAGCAGTCCTCCCTAAGAATTCAGCAGCAAATCTAAGATTCTTCTTTCTGCAATGTGGTCCCTGTCCCAAAACATAGCAGAATCTAGGAATGTATGGAACTTGTGCCTTGGCTTCAGGCTCTGTTCTATCCCAGTGTCCCCTTACATCTCTGGCTACTCAGTGCCCTTTGTGGGCTTACTTTGACTGCACCTTAATATATTCCCCAAGGTTGTTACTTTGCACCAGCACTCTGGGTAATACCAGTCACTCCCATGGCTTCAGTTACCGCTATATGCTGACCACTCTGAAATCTCTCTCATCGAGTTGTATCCTGAGCAGATGCCCTCTCCATTAAAATTCCCCATAAGCACATCAAGTTTAACACATCTAAACCAAACTCATTGTTAACATCTACCTCTTCCAGCCTTTATTCTTTCATCTCCATTCAAAAAATGAGCAGTGCAACTTATCTTGTCAACCAACCTACTGGGTAGCAAGCACACTCCACTTAGACATCACTTCTTCCAGGAAGCCTTCCTATCTCCTGCCTTTGGTGCCCCTTGGCATCATCTACCTAACTTGTCTTCTTACCAGATATTAAAATTCCTAGTTTCATCTGTCTCCTGTAGTAGACTACATAAGCTTTGCAAGATCATCTTGTTATACTACTTTATGCACAGCTCCTAACACATTGCAGGCATTAAATATGAATACTAATATATTCTCTATGCCCAGTGCCTAACACACATGAATGAATATGAATATATTCTTCGGATGCAAGGAATGTATTCAACTGTTTCCTACCTGGAGGCTCTATCAAGAACCAAGAGCAAAAATTGAGAGGATAATTGCTTGCTTCTGTTGAGGGGCTACACAGCACCTGTCTTCAGGGAAGTCATTACAGTTGCTCAAAAAGCTCTATTCAGAGCTTTGTCTGGGCCAGATAGGAACTAAGAATAACAAATAGGCAAAAGAAGAGTATCATGTTAAAAATGGCATCTAGATCTATGATCATACGCTACCTAGGCTGGTAGAGTGGGTGGGTATGCACCATAATCTCCAAGTGCAAGTGCGGGGTCACTGCTACATCAGTGCTACTGAGCCAGTTTCTCCTGAAGGGGCCTTGCAACCGTTCTTGGTTAAGTTTCACAAACAGGGTTGCAGGAGTGCAGGCCAGATTTAAGCCAGAAGGTAGAATCCCCCAACCTCCCATGTAGCAAACCCCCTGGTTTGTCTGAAGGGAGCAATGACTCAACACTGTGGATTGGCCACAGCTAGATTCCTGTGCACTCTTGACAATAAGGGTAAGCTCCATTCTTTCCTGGCACAATTACCCCAGGATGGCTCCAGGTCAAAGGTAATATCATCCAGGGTTGTAAGAAGTGTTAATTATAACCACGGGGATAAATAAACTCCTACGAAAGCATCAACAGATGAGGGGGCAATGACTGGTCTAGAGGACAAACTGCTACCAATGAGAAATAAGGAATATCTGAAAATTTTGAGAAAGAGTGGCTTTGCAAAATTGTTTGCAGAAGCGTCCTAGAAACTAGAGTGCTCAGTTGCATCAAATATAGCTGAGAGGCCAAGAAAACGAACATCTAGTGAGCCCTCTGTACCAAGCATGGTTACATTTGTTCTCTTTACAACCTTTCCAGCAGCAGCATCCACTGAACCTAATGTGAAGAGATGGCAACTGGTACACCACCAGACCTTCATGAAATGTTCTCATCCCTCTTGTCTACAAACTGGTATTTCCTTCAAAAGTCAAACCACTTCTAAGATTATTCTTAACTAAACCCTCCTACTTTATCCAGCATCTTCAACTATATTCAGAAGTTTTATAATTTGCATTTTCCCCCATCACCGCATTGCTGGCTCATTTGGTTGTTACCAGCTCCTACATGTTTGGCACAACCACCATTCAGACTGCTTGCAAAATGTCATGCTCAGCTCCAGCAGTTCTTCCTCCTACTACAGAGGATGAGGCAGGAGGACACAGCAACAAGCCTGGGCTCTTGAAATCAAGACATGCTTCTGCTGCCAGCTCTGAGGCAGGTACTGTCCAGGAAGCTTTGATGACAGCACCCTAGAGTGCCGACCCAACACTTAACAACCTTTGGGTGATCACTTAACCCTTTTAAACCCATTTCTTTCCTTTTTTTTTTTTTTAAAGATTTTATTTATTTATTTGAGAGAGAGAATGAGAGAGAGCACATGAGAGGGGGGAGGTCAGAGGGAGAAGCAGACTCCCCGCCGAGCAGGGAGCCCGATGCGGGACTCGATCCCGGGACTCCAGGATCATGACCTGAGCCGAAGGCAGTCGCTTAACCAACTGAGCCACCCAGGCGCCCCTAAACCATTTCTTGTTCTGTAAAACAAACAAGTGCCTCTTCTCACGGGGGTGATAGTAAAATGGCATATATAAAATATGTGTCAGTTTTTGGCATGTTAAGTATTCAATAGATATCAAAAATGTTAAGGCATTTTTTTTACTATCTTCATAGTACAAATCTCCCTGGAATAATGCTAAAGTAGAGACATCAAAACTATCTTACTTTTTAGATTTTATCCAAATTGACTACCCTTAAAATTAACCTTTTTTGCAGTACACTCAAGCTTTTGCCAAACGGCGGGATTCTCCATTTCCAGGAGTCATCTAAAGAATGCCTCAGCACTCTCACTTGTACCAGTTAAAGAGAAATAATACATTTTTAACAGGAAGTAAACAGGCAGCTTTTCACTTTTACATCTCAGACATCACAATCCATTTAAAGTAAGCTTCCATCTTTTCTATCCAAATAATATAAATATATATTTGAAGTAGTTTGATCAACGGAGATGGTCCGTCATCAGGACTGGCACTTTGAGATAATAGCAATGGCTAACATCTACTGAGCAGTCACTGTGTGCTTGGCCCTGCTGTAAGCACTTTACGTGTATTAACTCATTTAATGCAGTTTACAGGAAAAAACTGAGCCACAGAGGGAGAAAGGAGCTTGCCCAAGCCATGAAGCAGGTTAAGCAGTAAAGCCAGGATTCAAATCCATTAGCTCCAGAGTCCACTCGCTCATCCTGGATTATGACTTACCACCTCTCTTATCATAGTTGTACCAGCAAAAAAAGCATCCAATTCCAAAAATGAATACTGACTCTGCACAATCCAAAGTTCTCTCTGCCCAAGTTACTCATCAACTAACACAGATGCATCAGAAACTTCAAAATTAGTACTGACATACAACAGGTCTATATTAAATTTAGTCATAAAATTCTATCACTAGTTGAAAAATTAATTTCCTACTGTACAACAAAGATTACAGAACATCAAAGGAAAGAGAAATTCCATTTTTGTTTAAATTGGGCAAGTTAAAAAAGGACATACATTAAGAAAAACCAAAGTCAAAAGTACTTTATAATGGAGGAAATATTTAGTATTTTAATATACACCAAAATGTTTAATTATCCTAAGTAAATGTATTTAAAATTGTGTAGAATCTATTTCCTTGAGACTACACAAGAGGCCAATCAAAAGTCAAGAAGTGCAGTTATCTTAAACACACCAATGAAGGCAAGATATACCTGTATGCCAGTTAAACAAGCAAAAACACAGGAGCTATTTTCAGATAAGCTGTACCTCAGTTTCAAGTGTCATTAACTCCACTTCTGAGGTTCCTTGTTACAATACCTAAAACAAGAAAATATTTTCTTTTCAGCAGAAATCACATTTCATCTCAACCACACATATGAAAAGCTATAGATTCTAAAGCCATTCCATACCATACTTTGATACTTAATGTTTAAAATCAGACAATGAACTAGAGTCTTAAAAACATCTTAAATACACTTTCTCCTTTATTTTAACATCCCACAGCCTTACCATGTAGTATCAGCAGGTATGTTATTAGTGTAACTCAAGAGCAGTGGCTGTTTTTTATTTTTAAAGACTTAGAGAGCGAGCGAGCGAGCGGAGAGGAGAGGGTTAGAGGGATAGATAAACTCCAAGCAGACTCTGCGGTAAGCGCAAGCCCAATGTGGGACTCGATTTCACGACCCTGAGATCATGACCTGAATGTGGCCAATGTTTTAAAATAAACATCACTGGGGCACCTGGATGGCTCAGTCCGTTGAGTGTCTGCCTTTGGCTCCAGTCATGATCTTGGGGTCCTAGGATCAAGCACATCGGGCTCTCTGCTCAGCGGGCAGACTACTTTTTTCCCCTCTCCCTCTGCTTGATGCTCCCCCTGCTTGTGCTCTGTCAAAATCTTAAAATAAAAATCATTGACTATACAGATACCTGAATCATTTCACAAAAAGAAAGTCTACTTTTCAACTAAAAACTAATACGTAACTATTTTCTTCCAATACTTTTCTTTATACTTAAAATATTTGAATATTTTATAATTATTTTTACAAGTCACAAAAAAAACATTTATAGTCCTAAATTCCATGTTCATTTTGCAAAACAAAGCATACTTGTTTTTAAAGATTTTATTTTTTTAAGTAATTTCTACACCTAATGTGGGGCTGTAACACACAACCCTACGATCAAGAGTTGCATGCTCCACCAACTGAGCCAGCCAAATGCCCTAAAGCATACCTTTTTTAAAAATTAAGTGCACAATCAAAATTGATGCATGAACATATAAGCTTCACCATTGTGTTATGTTGAAGGATGATGAGTAGAAATTCAGCAATTCAATGAAAATAAATGACAAGAGTTAAACACACACATACAAATAAAAAAACTAATGCAAGTGGTTACAATAAAAATCTTTATTTAGGTTTGGTCAGTACAGGTAAGATATACTGGAGTCACAGAGCAATATGCATTAACAGGATACAACAGTTCATAAAAACTGAGTAACTATGCACACAAATTTCTTAAACATTCAGTCACCTAAAGAGAAAATGCACAGATGTATGGTGGAAAAAACTGTATCTAACACTGAAACTACTACAGGACTCCATCAGCAAGTCCAACTTTTAGTGATAAAACTACTGTACTGGGCAAACTTGGCAGTCATAAACCCACATCTACTCTAACAAGTCTGAATGGTGCATAAGTGTAATAACAGCATGAGTAAGAATGCCCTTACACAGCACAGGTTCTAGGAGAGACACAGATTTATACAGACATCATTGTGTTATACTTTAAGATTTCCATTTACAACTTCACATTAACTCATATAAAAATAACTTGACCCTACACAAAATGTCCTTTTAGCAACATTCAAGGTAATTAACTGTTACAATTTCCAAAGTGGCAGAGGTATTGAAGCAAAGAAGGGGAGGGAAAAAAAAGGGGGAGGGGGGAGGAAAAAACCACACCCACAAAAAAAGGCAAACTGTGACAAAAGTATGCGTTAATTTTCTGGACAGTATCCTCTCCCAAATTAAATGACACTGTATAAAAATTTGCTGGAAAAAATATTACAAAACTGAACCCTGTACATTTACACTTGAGTCCAAGCCATTCTGAACGTGGCGGGAACCCGCAGTTCGGTTACCTTTCCCACTCACTGTTTTCTCCTCTTGAGGGTCATGATTGGAGTCTGTGTCATTTGAGTGGTGTGTGAGAGAGTTTTCACTGCCCGTGGGAGAGTCTACACTTTCATACCCCGCACTGAGTTGATTTACGTAACTACTACCTCCTCTGCCAGTTCTCTCCTCTGAGCTGTTGGAGGCCTTATTACCATTCCCAGGAGAAGAAGGAAAGTCATCTTCGGCTGTGTCCCCCTCCCTGTGAAATCCAGACCCAGACGTCCTCGGCCGGGAGGAACTGCCGTTACTTGGTCCGTTGGCCAGCCGACTGCAGTCTTTACCTGTGGCCTCTGCCTGTGCTACAGGCTCAGAAGATGTAGTCCTGCTGGTACTTGGGGCTGGAGCTTGAGACTGCTGCTGTTGGTACTGAGCCAACTGTTGGCGAGTCTCTTTCAGTTGTTGCTGAAGAACTAGAATGGTGCTCTGCATACCCTCTACTTCTTCATCAAGTTGAATGATGAAGTCATTCAGTTCTGTGCAAAGGAGAGTCAAACCTACTTTAATATCTCTTAAACATATTTTATATTTTTAAAGATTTAGAACATATTTTAAAAATATTAGTGTCTGTCACAAAGCCAGACACTCAATAAATGTTTAAGTGAACGAATACAATTCTAAAGAATCACAAAATACTTAAAATTTTTTTGCTTGCAATTTAAAAATAGCCATTTAAGAATGAGTTTGGGTTTTTCGGGAGTGGGGGGTGGGGGAGACATGCTTAAAATATCTTAAAGCAACCAAGTTAAAACTGATTCAAACCATCTAGCCATATACAACTGATTACAGCCCCCCCAAATCCACTCCACATGTTTACCTGGGGCCCACATGGCTGGTTCCCTTTCTCCTTACCCCCCTAGCCAGTGTTTGTCTCAGCTCCACAGCAGGTTTAGCCCTAGGGAGCAGTGGGTCCTCTACTCTAAGACTCCAAAGAGGCCTATGCTATAACAAAAACAAAAATCAGAGAAAATAACTCCTGAAAACTGACAAAATACACATGTCCATTAAGTCCTAAAAAGACTTGGGAGAGGGGAAAGTCCTTGACTACTATACAAAATCGCCTAGTCACTATGTTTACAAATATTAAGAGCTAATAACTATCACTTTGAAAAGGTATGTTAAAAGGTATCATATTGACTACTGATCTTTGCAATTATCAAATATATTGACTTTCAATTTATTTATTTTTAAAATTTTATTAATTTGATAGAGACAGAGAGCAAGCAGAGGGCACAAGACAGAAGCAGGCTCCCCGCTGAGCAGGGAGCCCGATACGGGGCTTGATCCCAGAACCCTGGGATCATGACCTGAGTCAAAGGCAGGCGCCCCTTAACTTTCAATTTTATTTCCAGAGTTCGGATATTTTAGTTACTATTCATCTTCCTCAAAAAGAGAAAAAACAGAAGGGATACAGCTACACTTGCCCCCCCAAAAAAGGCGGGGGGCGGGGGAAGAAGGGGGACGGCAGTGGCTGACAATTAAGTCCAGTTTATCTTTAGCAAATTTAAATATTACATCTTATTCACTAAACAGGACCTTAACAGGTACAATTAATTCTGTATTTTTAGACCACTGGAAATAGCCAAATACTTCCAATATTTACACTTAGAATATTGGTTAAATGAAGATAACCCCCTTTTAAATATTGAATATGAATTTATATATGTAATGCGTTAGTAATAAACAGCCTATTTTTCACCAAATTCCACCCCCCAAAAAACCAAAAACTAAGGAAATTTGCACAATAAACAAGAGTGTGTGGGGGGGGGAACCACTAAAGTTAAATGGCTTTGCTGACTCAACTAGAAATGTTTCATTTATAATTTTTCAGGACCACTGGCACAGATTAGTACATACAGAATCTAATCTATAATATTCATGCCTGGCAAATTTTTTAAAGCCAGTGCAAAGTTAACCAAACTGTTCAAAAAAACCCTTACCATCCTGACTGCTTTTAAGCTCCTCACTATATTTCTTCTGTAAAGCCAACTCTGCTTCAAGTTGTGCAATACGTCCCTGGGACAGCTGCCTTCCAAGCTCTTGATTCTCCTGGATAAGCATTCGACACTTCGCCATTAACTTTTTGCCTGTTTGGCTGCAAAGGAAAGAGCCATCCATCATAAAATGAAGACAAGTGTCTACAACCTTGTTTGCTTGCAATTATTACAGCAATAGATGTTAACACGTACAGAATGTAACTGTCACGGCAGATGCCTCCCTATAATTACCATCTTCTTTTCTGGAACACGTCCATCTTCTGCATTTCAGTATTTTGCCAATACAGCAGCAAAAATAAACCCTAAACAAAAAGTACCCAAATGGCCACATTTTCTTTTACACTAGTAATGGATTCTGATATCTATTTTCATCCCAAATTATCATTTGAAATGGAAACAAGCCAGTTAACTAATGCAAACCTCAGATATACCAATATTAATAAAACACTAAGGTACTTCGTTTCATGGAACAGAAAAGTTCTTGAAAAGGTAAATGCAATAACGTAGAGTATATTTATTGTTGCTAAAGTAGCATTTGATGAGGGTGCCTCTTCATAGGCAGCTGTCATAAGAATGTTTATTGCAGTAAATGAGGCATATTCAATAACTGTTTTTAGAGACTTTTAATATTTTTAAAGTAATCTCTACACCCAACGTGGGGCTTGAACTCATGACCCTGAGATCAAGAGTCACATGCTCTACTGACTGAGGCGCCCCTAAAGAGCCTTTTTAAAAAGAGCCTTAAGAATATTTCCATCCATGGGGCGCCTGGGTGGCTCAGTCGTTAAGCATCTGCCTTCGGCTCAGGTCATGATCCCAGGGTCCTGGGATCGAGCCCCGCGTCAG